ACACTTATGTTGACCATTCAATTTGATGATGAGTCCTACCTGGTTAGGTACAAAACTTCAGTGGCTGAACATTATGTTCTCTCTATGTTGTATATATTAAGTGCTTTAAACATACAACCCATTCAATGTTGATACAGAGATTTTTTTCATAGCTTCTTGCAGTAAAACTATTTCTGTATGTTTTGAAAATTGAATTTTTTTCAGCTTGCATTTAGTAAAATGTGTTAACTGAATGAACAAAACATATTTCTGTAATTTAAATTTCCGTCTGTCTTTGTATCTCCATAGCAATTATAAGGAACACACAGGCTGAATTAGAGTACAGATCCATATGAACATTGCCACCTTTGTATTGAGAATGTTTATTTTTTTGACTTGTCATGTATTTGGTGAAAAGAACACCTTAATAGTATGAAAATCAAGTTAAATCAAATTATTGATTCTTCTAGGTTAAAAAGTACTTTCTAATATAATTAAATAATTTTTACTATCATATTTATTTCATGACCATTTCATGCTCAGGTGGACAAAATGTCATAATTTCTCTTACCATAATTTGCATTACTTCAATTCATTAATACTTTTTTTACACATATACTTACTTTGTTTGAATACAAAAGTATTTTTAGGCGATAGTTAAAAGCCAATATACAAATTAAACTCCAACTGAATAGCAACTAAGAGTCTGAACAATGTATTTGAACTTGCAAGACAGTTAAATGCCATAAAAATYAGCAAATGAATGGGTGGATTAAGGGGAATAAAGTGCCTCATTTCCTCTTTTGTAATTTACAGAAATTGTTCCTGCTAATTAGGTCAAAGCAAAAGGGAGGGACTATTCTGGTTCTGAGTAATGCTGGAGAAAACACTCTAAACATGACAAGATTATTTAAATGTTGAAATACCCTGATTAAAAAAGCAATATATCAAGTCTGATGTTTAGAAGACATAGATAACATTTCAGAATATAATATAGCATGCAGAATTGTGTAGTTTTCTTGCCTTTCTTTTTGGGTGTGCATAAAGTGATCTTCARGGGTCATCAAGAAAGACTGTCTTCAACTGATAAATTATTTTGAAGATTGAGCAACTGAACTGTGATAGATGGATATGCTGAATAAGCAATTTTGTTACCATTGCATTGTAGATGGTGTAACCAATGAACAGAGGCAAACTAATTGTCAAATGCAGCAAAATTTATGTCTCTTACAAATTTATATCTGATCTCCTATCTAATTCCCTTGAATGTATGTCTAATAAAGGGCTAGGAAACTTGGACTAATAATCAGATAATTATCAGATCTTTAGATGTGGAGAAGAAAATYTTAGAAGTAACTTCCTACATTTTAATGCATTGTTTTAGGGTGTATTGTCACATGAAGTTAAAATAATACAGAAACTTCTGGCCAAATGTCACTTACAATATCCTTTTAAAATTGTTTCCAGATGTTTAAAAGAAAAATCTTCTTAATATGTTCAGAAAGCCTGGAAATTTAAAAGTTTGTATAAAGACACTGTTAAATCAGAAATCTTGCACATAAAAACAGTAGAATTATCAATATTACTATTATGCTAAATTACACTAAAATGCTTTCTTAAAACAGTATTTTTTTTTGGGGGGGGGGGGAGAAACATCTTTGGCTTTGAATGAGTGGGTAGAAAAAACAGCCTATAGTAACTTATTTAGATACAAACTGTATTGCCAGCTAGTTTATACTCAAACGTGAAATTAATTTCATTACTCCATTTGTCTTTTCTCTCTCAGTGGATCTATTTTTAATCTCTTTATCAACATCATGATAATCTGAACATTGGCACCTTTCTTTTAGAGCTTAAGCAACTTAATGTTCTTACAATTATGTTTTACTGCAACCTATGTATGTAACTAATTTTTATAATCTGTTTTTGGCTAACTTCACAAAGCATTGTCATCTTTCAAACCATTAACATTTTCTCCTCTAATATATTTCATAACATATGCTCTCCTTTCATGTTCTGGTTGGATAAAATCGGAAAACACTTTGATCATGAAATCTGGATCTATAAGAGGAATAAGTATCTTATTACTCTTTAAAAGCTTTACTTCTCTGAATTGATTCTTGCAATACTGCATTTTTGTTTGGAGCACTCCACTGCTCTGAAGCTCTATTAAATACAATTCTATACAGAATAGTTTTTAGGGGATTTTAATACTATTCTTTTATTGAGTTTCGCCAAGATACAGAACACAATTTCTCGACAACCATTATAATTTCATTATTCAAAAACCAAAGGCTCATTCTAGGAGTTGAAAATAATTTTGTGTAACTCTTTGGGAGAAGTTGTTTCATCTCTTGATAATATCTTTGTTTTCCCTTCAGAACAGTTGTATAGAAAATTGACACAATTACAACTCATGGTTTTTGTTCTTTCTTCACAGTGTAGCCAGTGCATATATATGTATACATATAATATATACATATATTTTCTTGACTCTCCTAATCAGGCTCCAGATCACTTACAATCATTATTTAGAAATATTTTACATTAACGACTTGCTAACAGATACTTTTCTAAATGATTCTTTTTTATTTAATATTTTTACTACTAATAGTTTGGATTTTCAATACATATTGTAATGACTGAATACTTGTATCCTGAGAGTAGCTACAAATTCTTATTGATCTGTCATCACCTTGGCAGGACGAACTCTGCTGGAAAAGCTCTTCAGCCAGCAGGAAAATGCGCCGCAAGAAGAAGCAGAAAAGTTGTGTTCTCGCATTATTGCTATGGGTCTTTTGCTTCCATTCACTGACTGCTTCAGAGAGCCGTGTAGTCAGAGTGCCCAGCAAAGCACACCCACATTTGATGTAAGTACTGAAAAAGTTCTCTTTTGTCAAGCAGGACATGGTTTGCTAAGAGTTTATCCCTCCTGAGAGAATTCTGTTTGTCTTTTTATTGAAAATTACCCTTAGGAGAGTGACTAGCTATTTTTCTGTGATCAGTTATGTATGATTTTGTATCCTAGTAAGCATAAGTACATTCTCCTATAACTTGATTTCTTAACTTTTGAACTCATATCTTAGTCTGCTGTTCCATTCTTTGTAGATTCCATTGTTGTCTTTGAATCAAAGCACACTATGCTGGTACCAAGTTTTCAATCAATAGCTGCTTCACCAAAAATACAAATTAAAGGAAAACCAGAAAATAGCATGCTGCAAAATTTTACATTACCCAAACATGATGTCTATGCTAGATTTCCCCCCCCCCCCCCCCCCACCCCCCCAGATACTTTTGATACAAAATAGTGCAGGGGCCACTGCAGGTTTGCTGGCATTCCAGCTACAGTTTTACCTGTGCTTGTGGACTATCTGGCCAGGTGCTTATGCAAAAAATATTGTTACAAACTTGGGGTGTGGACATACTCTAACATGCTTTTCCTTTCTCTTGGATAATTAATTCAGCATTAGAATGTCTTCTTGTTGTAACCCATGACATTTTTTACTGTTTTATGTGGCTAAAGATAATCAGGGATTTTCTCTTCACTAATTAACTTCAAAATTACATGCAAATAGGAACTAATCTACTTGATACCTTGCTGGTATAGTTATGATCATCCCTATTCTACACATTTAGCTGGAGCTTGGTTAGAAACACTCACAAAAGGRTTGACATAGATGTGAGAGAATGTGATTTCTTCTGAACTCTTTAAATCTTTCTCTTCTTTCCTGAAGAATAATTTAAAACAACTGGTGACGGGAACACTGAGAGAATAATTATTCCAAAGAATTCTAATATAAGCTTTCTTAAATAACACATTTTATCTACAAAAACATCCCATGGTCCCTCTAACGATATTATATGTTTATGTTTTGATTTTGCTGTTACTATTTGTTTTGGTTTTTTTTTAAGAAACAACACTGAAACCTTTTTAACTGGTTTGGAAATTAATTGAAAAATGCAGTGTAACTATTAAACTGAGGTTACTTAAACAACTTAAAATCACACAGCATTTGAAAGTGCTTGTGGTTAAATGTACTCATAAAAGTTACTTGAAAAGACAAGCTTTTTATTCTTCAGGCTGTTTAAAAGAGTATGGTAATGTTTTCTGTTCTCCTGCTGTTGCCATATATTCAGCAATCTCCTTTAGAGTATTGAACATTACATTCCTAAAAAACTTCTCCTCCATTGTAAAGGGAATTTTTATCAAATGCAAAACTTGGAAAAAAGCCGAAAAGGGTGTTTTCAATTGATATACCGTGCTTTGTCGAGTAAGAGGTATTTTAGTTATCTTTTGTTTAACATATCCAACACAAGGAATGTAGTAGCTTAGTGCCACATCAGCTGTCTGTCAAGGTCAGGAGTTTAAGATGTTGCTGGATTAGCAGTGGTCTTAATTCGGTCTATCAGTAAGTCACAAATACAGCTTCTATGACTATTTTTCTCCTGAAATATAAATCTCCTAAATAGATCACACTCCTGGTGAAAGAGTGTCAGAAGTAGTGTACTGCCCTGTTATGTAACCACCAGTTCATCCTGCTTCAAAGGAGCATGTGCAGCTGTCTTGAACACAAGGATCTCAATAATTGAGTGCCATGTGGAGCAGAGCAGAGAGCTGCTGATAGAGAGTTTTAGTTCATCCTACTTCAAAGGAGCATGTGCAGCTGTCTTGAACATAAGGATCTCAAAAATTGAGTGCCATGTGGAGCAGAACAGAGAGCTGCTGATAGAGAGTTTTGGAATATGTTTCTAGTCCAGCCTTGGTGACCACAGTATAGGCATACCTATCATTACATGGTTTATTCATTACATGTTCTCCAAAATGTAGCTGTTTAGAACTTGCAGTAGAAATACTAATGGCTGAAAACTTGAAAACTATGCATCTCCAAACTGAATTTGCTTCTTAGAATAAATAAAGTCTTTCATGGGAAATAAATGCTAGTTGTTATGTAAGGGAATCAAACAAAAATGAGCTTGAAAAAAATTATGATGATGCTGAATATTACTTTAAAAAGGACATGTAATGTTGGTGAATCATGTCCTCTCTTGCATCTCTCTCCATGTCTGTACTTTGGGTTTTTTTTCTTATTCACATTTTTCTTGCTTGTTTGTTTGTTGGTTTTTTAAAATTCATTACAGCAAGACTTTAATGTCAATCTAACAGTTTATTTCAAAGACAGAAGAATCAGATTAGCCTTAAGTTATACCTAAATTTCACCCATCTAAAATTAGGAAGTACATCTTTTTGGATCTTACTCCAAAATTGGGACCAGAGTCAGACCCATATTCTTCTTTTGTCTCTGAGTTTATAAGACCCCTGTTCAATTTTGGTTTGTCTTSAATTTGGCTGATATCCTTTTCAGTTAGCTGAAACTGCCAGCAACAAAGGTCCTGTAGCCTTATCCTGGTCCCTGCCACCTTGTTGTCCTTCCTCCCTTCTGCATCCAGCTGTGGGGCTTGCCTCTTCCTTAGTATTTCTTCTTTGGCTGTTCTGATTTTTTCAGTCCAGTGCTTGTAAAGTCTCTTAGGTCACTCTTTCAGATTTTTTTTTTTTTTCAGAATTGTCAACACACTTTCCACTGAAACCTTACCTTGAATCCTGCCTTTTCTCCTTTTGTGACTGATCCCTCGTATTTCTGAACTTTAAAGTACTATTTTTTGTTGCATTCAATAAAATCCATGATTCCCTTATTGCTTAAGTGTGGTCCCACAGATGTTATTTGTTTAAGATGTTAGGCTACAGTTTATGAAAACAATTTTTTTGTTCACTCTATAATCTGTTGCTCATGGCTCAAGATGAATATAAACAGATTATTTTAAAGTCCTGTTTTCTCACTCTGATCTCCTTTTCTGGATGGCCTCTAGTGAATTTAATTTAACATGGCTAATGCTGAAATCTCTTGAAATATTTGCAATTGCACATTCTGATTATATTCTCATTTTCTTTATTATTCATGTCTGCTGGTCACCTCTACTTCTCCCTGTCTATCCAAATCTTGTGCCTGTTTTCTCAGTAATGCAAGAGATACATTTTGCTTTTTTACTCCCAAGATATTCCAGGCTTCAGTGCAGGCCATTAAATGGTACCTGCCTTCTTTTTGATTTCTTTTTGAACGTATTTCTTTCTCTTCCCCTCTGTCAGACTGCAATTAAGCAGTGCATTAAAAGTAAAGACAACCTTCACAGCTCTTAGTTTCTCAGGCTGATATTATTACATCTCCTAGAAGTCAGTTTAATTTAAATTCTTGCCAATTGTATCTGGTGTAGGCTATGCTTTTTGAATGTGATGCTTACTCATTTTTTTAGTATATGACAAACATGAATGGTCAAAAAATGCCAGAGAGCACAAATCTTCAGCAAACTAGCAGCTGTCCTTACATTTATGCTGAGGACAGTGTCCAGTTTCCAGATGCTTATGTATTAGTCAGATCTTTGGATAGATTTTAATGATGGTTGGAGATGGCATGTTCAACAAGTGTCTCTGACCTTTTTGTCGAATTAGCCCAAACGACAGAAACTTTAGAACCGTTTTAAGAACTTGTGAGAAAACTGGCATGGTCAGTCTTGGCCTGTTTTATCAATTATTTCTTTTGAAACAGATGATGGCTGTTGCCCAGAATAGAGGATTTGTCTGAAAAGTAAAAGTGGAACAAAGTTTTAAAAGTAACAGAAATAGACAGGGTTGGGGTTTTAAAGATACTTGCTTTTGAGAAGCAGCGGAAACTTTTGTTATAGCTCTTTTTACCCACTCTTGTAATGTGAAGAGTATCTTAAAGAGGAAGTAAGTATTCAGCGGCAGGTTCTCTATCTAGAATTATATTGCACTTACTGCTAGTTTTCCATTTCTTAGTGAGACTGCTTATCATTGCTTCATGTATGTCATGACAACTTACTCATCAGGCTATCTTTAGTCTCTCATGCTTCTGCTACTATTTTATGAAAGAAAACCAGAGGGTTTAACTAAAAAATAAATAAAGTCAAGCAAATAAATGGACAGCTTAAAGATAGATTAGCAAGAGCAAAGCATGTTCTCTGAAAAAATTGCTTTTTGAATAGCCATTGACTGCTTGACTTTTAAATTTTTACCATTTTAGCAGTTGTGTTATTCAAGGGGGTTTCTAAAGATTCAAATTAAAATAAAATGTCTTTTGCATGAATGATATGTTAGAAATTAATGTTTTGTGAAAAATTTTTCCATTTGTAAACCACAGAAACATAGACTCCTTAAGGTTGGTAAAGACCTCTAAGATAATCAAGTTCAGCCATTAAGTCAGCGCCCCTGTGTTCACCATTAAAGCAAATTCCCTCAGCGCCCCTGTGTTCACCATTAAAGCAAATTCCCAAGTGCCACATCCACATTCCTTTTGAACACTTCCAGGTATGATGATTCCACCACTTCCCCAGGCAACTTTTTTCAATGCCTGACTATCTTTCCAGGGAATAAATTTTTCCTAATATCCAATCTAAACTGCTGGTGCAGCTTGGGGCCTTTTCCCCTTGTGATGTCACTTGTTAGCAGTGAGATCTACCTCACTTTCCACATTTAGTGCAGCTGTAGTCTCAAACTTTTTAGCATGTTGTCTCATTATGATATCCCATTAGAGTTAAAATTGACTTGGCTAAATGGTGCATCTTTTGCAAGAATGTAACAGGCAGGTTTGGTGGACCTATTGGTGCACTACAGTTTTAATGAGTAGGGATATCAGCTGCATAGCTCCTCTCTGATTAATCACAGAAGGTATAAGATAGCTAGAAGGTATATCTTTCTTCTGAGAGCCATCAGTAATGTGTATAAATTACACATATTTGCGTTAGAATTTTAGCCACTCATACACCAATGAAAGTAGGTGGAGTATTTTCCTATCAGTGT